TCAACGTTGCGCCCAGGACAACACTTGCTGCAGCCAAGAAACCCTAAGTATATCTCTATGCGTTCATCCCCTTAGTCTTAGGGTTGCCCCTAAGACGACGTAGATACCACCTCCTGACACCGCCGTACCGGAAAGCACTTTTCCGGTACGGGCAGAGCCAGCAGCATTCCAGGTTCAGAATTGAACCCAAAGGCAGAAATCACCATTCTGAGAGTTGAACGTCGCCATCCATGATTTAGACATACCATTCCATGGCCTGTGCATGCGCGTCCGTGTCCTTCACTACGTTGCCATCACGTCCACCAACGCACACTTGACATCCGTCCTGTCCAGAGCCGTCGTCGCGAGCTTCGACAACATGAATGTAAGCAACATTCGGAACATCCGTCCTGTTTGCATGGGATTGTCGTCCTCCCGCCGGCGGAAAAGCCACTCAACGTATTGCTTTAGAATTCCTACCCAAGCCTATAACACAAACATAATAACATTGTCCTAGCATTCCATAGCCCTACTTGACTTGCCTACAAACGAGTTGCCCCGGTCGGACCCTCCAAGTCTAGCCCAGTAGCTTACTGTGGGCTGACGTTAGTGAACATGGAATGCAAGCTGTGTGTGTGCTCATCCCCTTTGAAAAAGGTTTGACTACGACTTGACACACAGACTCCCTCCTGCAACAAATGCCCATTTTCCGTACGAGCGTGACGAGCAACATAAGAGATCCAGAACCGACCACACCGGCAGAATTCATCGTTCAGTTCCTTAAACCTTCATTTACGGTTTCCCTACAAACAGCTCCATGCCTTGGATATGCGTCTGTTTTCTTCCTTACGAACATCACATTTTACGTTCGTCAGGGCCAGAGTCTTTGTGGCAATCTTTCATATTCAGCACGCAATGAACCCTTCATGGACACCAGCTGCATTAGCCTGGCTTGTCGTCCTTGCGGCAGCCTGGGCAAATGGCCCAACGCGATTTAAGTATGCTGCTGCTTGCGGCCAAGAAACAAGCATTCCAAAACTGTCATATCATCCCCTGGTTTCGTTGTATTTGGTTTGCATACAAGTCGACGCGGATACTACCTGCTGTGACCGCCGTATCAGAAGACACTTTTCCTGTACGGGCGGAACCAACAACAGCGAAGTTCAAAAAACCCGACTAGTAGCTAAAAGTCAGCATTCATAGAGTTAAACGTCCCCGTCTGTGACTTGTACATAACAATCCAAGCATCTCCTAAGCGTCTTTCTCCCCCTTCGTAAGGCCATCGCGTCCACCAACGCACGTCTTACATCCGCCCAGTACAGTGCCGTTGAAGCTGTGACGAGTAATATGAACGCTTAAGTAATTCATGAACATCCGCTGCGTTTGCCTAGCATTGTCGTAAAGGAGGTCGCGTCGGCATCAGGCCATCAACGTTGCGCCCAGGACAACACTTGCTGCAGCCAAGAAACAGAAAGTATATCTCTATTCGTTCATCCCCTTGGTCTTAGGGTTGCCCCTAAGACGACGTAGATACCACCTCCTGACACCGCCGTACCGGAAAGCACTTTTCCGGTACGGGCAGAGCCAGCAGCATTCCAGGTTCAGAATTGAACCCAGAGGCAGAAATCACCATTCTGAGAGTTGAACGTCGCCATCCATGATTTAGACATACCATTCCATGGCCTGTGCATGCGCGTCCGTGTCCTTCACTACATTGCTGCTTGCGGCCAAGAAACAAGTGATGCAAAACGTTGCCTCATGTCCATCCGTCCGGTCCACACACGTAAGAGCAATTTTCCATAACACGGATGTAAGCACCGTTCGGGATGTCCGTCGTGTTTGCCTCAGGAAGTCGTCCTCCCGGCGGCGGATCGGACCCTAAGCACCGGCCGGTACCAGCTGGTACCAGCTCCTGGAGCCGCTTAATCGATGCTGATCGTGATGTGTAATTGGTCCAGCATAAAGCACATTCTTCATCATCCGGAAGGGATCCCTTAGCCGTAGTACATGTAAAGGATGCGCAGGACAAGCAGTGTAAGAGGTACTCGGAAAAGAACGCAAAAAAGACTGTTCCGTCCAAATAGCTAACAAGCTGTACCTTGGCGGATTGCAGGGCGCTTCTAACATACATGCCATCCTTTGGAAGTCATGTTGTAGGCTTGTCCTGTTTGGTTTATGTTGGCATTGCATTAAGAAGTTCAACGTGATACCTGCAG